ATATTAATAAAAGAAATTATCTTTGCTTATTTATGTATTGCAGGATGTGGTAAATTGAACGTTAATTGGAGAAACTATGCAACTTCTATTATTATCAGTTTATTAAAAAAAAGGTAAAAATTTGTATTTCTTGATTAACAGCCCGGCTGAATGTCGTTAGTTATGCTACGTTGTTGCTATGAGAAACATAAAACAATAATTTTCATTTTGTACAGACGTTTATATAAATATTGTTGCGGCAGTGGTCACGTTAATCTGTCGAATTAAATACTTTTCGCCAGAGACAGTATCATTTATAAATAATCTTTCATTCTACCGAGATGTTCGTAATAAAAATATTATAAATTACAATCTATTAAAATTATTAACGCGCGAATCACATGTGAAAAAACAAGAAAAGTAAAACGTTCTACCTTAAACAATATCATAATTAATCAATAGCGCAATGCGAATACATTGAATCGTGTACGAGTAATTTAATCGAATATATTCTATTCATATCTCTTTCGTCTGATAAGAATAATAACACTTTCATACTTGTTACATATGAATCACATTATTCGTGTATATGATAGCACGTTCCATACCGCGTGGGTCATCGATGACCTACGGTATACAAGGTGTTCCAGCTACTATGTATTTATAACCAGAAAAAAAATAAAATGTTATATATATGTTTAGGTACACCAGTAAGTAGTCTCTTTTTTCCCTTAATTAAATGGCAACGCATGTGAAACGAAATATATTGCTGTTTAAACAAAACAGTTTACTTTTATCGTGAGAAAGTATTAATATTCTTAATTGCTGTAAAAGCATATCTTGATTTTTCTGTTGAAAAGTAGTAGATTACGTATTGATACAACTAATAAATACAAGAAGTTAAAAAATGAAGAAATCAAACCTGCACAGAATTATGAATAGGTTACTGTTACATAATTAATTTAAAAATCAAATCAATCTGATTTTTGACAGGGCCTAATTTCTCCATCCTGAAGTTATTTCAATTTCTCAAAAACATGTACGTGACATTTTTTTTCACGTTTCTGTTTATAATATGCGTGTACCATTATAATACAGTTTCATCAAATAATCATTAAACACCCTCTATATGTCACCCTATAATTAGCTAGATAATCTTATCGATCGACCAATGTTAAAATGAAACGTGAAACTGTAAAGAATTTAGAGGTACAAAATATAATAAAATACATTTTGTGTAACAAAATATTCAATTTCAGTTCTTCAACAGCTTTTGGAACGCTACCATACTTTAAAAGTTTTGAGTAACACAGACCGCGTTGAGTTTCGGTCGCGAACAGCCACGATTCAGAGATTTCAACGCGTGAATGTATATACAAAATGCTGCACGTCGATTGAAAACCACTCGCCTACGTAACAATTATAATATAAAATTACGTACTGCGATCATTTAGTATACGCTAACAATTTTCTCGACGCACATTTACAATAATCTACCCTCGTTACAGCCAAGTGTTTTTCAAATCCTACAGCGGGCCTACGATCATGTTGTAACTCCATCATAATATTAATAATAATATTAATAATAATAAGTATAATATATTATAATAATAATTAAAAATAATGAAAACAAAACAAAATGCTTGAAAAATTAAAACACGACAAAAGAAACGCATGTGTGTATATATATACACACAAATCTACCTACCTATCTACCTACCTACCTACGTACCTATCTACCTACCTATTTATATATATATTTATATATATAATTATTATATATAATATATATATATACATATACATTATATATAATATGTATATATACATATAAATGTATAACGAATACCATTGAACACTTTCGTAAAGCATCCAACAGCCTGTATTCGATAAAAGCGATACACTGGATTGTTAATGTTAATTAATCACGGAAGCACGACACGATCGACGCGCGATACGATAAATAATGTTGTATCCATAAAGTAATTTTATCGGATGCAATATTAACATTGTTTTGCCTCATCCCCCCATCTTTCGACTGCAAAAAGCAGACATTAGCGGTACCTTTCATATAATCGATTTGTTATCGTGCATATTATCAATGATAAATTGTTTCTGCGATAAAAGGAGAGAAAGGTAAAATTACAAAATATTTGAGAAAGAGAGATGGTCTCGGGACTTCGCCACATAACTGTACATGTCGCATTGTAACCTTAGATTTATGATTACTTCTCAGACGTTGCAAACCGGAGTTATATAAAGACGCCGCGAATAAATACCTAACCAATATTAACTTGTAGAGAGAGTTTTGGAATATAAAACTTGCTTCTTTTGAATATCTCCGTCTTATTGTACGTATTTCCGGAGAAGGTGCACCGTAGTTAAAGAGTCGTTTCGATGGGCATTATTAT